AGGGAGTGTGGAAATAACGAGTTGTATCCTGAGCATCTCTTGTCAAAGTATTTATAGCCAAAGCCTACAACCACTAATGACCTAACTGTCACTTTATTCCCAGATCTTCTCTGGATGTAAATGATACACATCTACCGCTTGCCTCAGAGAGCACTAACAACAGTTCTGTTGCTTATATTCCATTCTTTCTTTATATATTCCCTTTTTTAACTATCACAGTATAAACAAGGCCTTATCAAGATGTCCCTGTATACACATTTAGGTGGAGAAAGTTAACTGCTGTAATATTCTTACGGTCTTGAGTGCACCAATAGGTTCTGCAATGCCATCCAAACACTCGCAGGTTTGGCTGCTTGTGTTCAGTCTCAGCTCTGACAAGGTGCAGCTGGGAAGAGCTGGGTGAGGCTTTGTCACAGCATCCTGTTTACTGCGGAGCTGTACTTAAGCTCAGGCTGGTGGCTTGGGCTGTTTCTGCCTTGTCACTATGGACTTGCCTGAAGACTTGCCACCACTGGAGCACAGCTAAATGCAGTACTGGATTCCCTTTGCTCCTCTGCTTTGAGCAGTGTGGGCTTGTACCCCTGCAGGTGAGATGAAGATGTGGCCGCTGCCTGTCCTGCTGTCCCCTTTGGCTCCCACCTCGTCTTCCTGTGCAGAATGGTCTGTTCTTGCTGCTCCCTGACAAACACTGTCCTGTGTTATGAGAATACTGTAACTAAGATGAGATCACAATTCATTAGTATCTTACACTAGTATTATGCTTTAATTTTTCAAATATTTGGTGTTACTGGGTAATTGTAATTATTACAATTTAATCTGCAAGAGCTTAATTGTGATCAGGTAACCATTGCAGAAATACCTGTGTGAGTTCAGAGCCCTTGCTTCCTCCTCTGGAGTTTCTTAACCTTTTTAGCAACCATCTCTTATGGTGGTTCGAGCCAGCTAACTTTTCAACTATGGCAAATTAATGCTCACCTGGTCCTTTCCAGCTGTTTTAACTTCGGAAGAAGTTTTAGATTCTGAAGTTGTTCCTCCCCCCATTTTAAGTACCTCCTAAAGAAACAGGTATGTACTGACTCCATTTTTTTTTAAGGAATTACTTATCACAGTTACATTTCTTCCCCAAAAACTCAAGCCACTGCTTCTCCATTTTTTGTCCTTCTGTATCCTGTATTAAAAAACCTTGTGATGTCATATACTTCATTCTATTATTCTCCATATCTATGTAAGTTATTAGGAAAACATTTACTGAAAGCCTTCTATTGGCCTTGGAAAAGTTCCACACAATTGCTAATCACAAGTCATTACCTTGCTGGTCTCTTTTGTAATGCATTGTGGTATAAGTCCACAGTACCAGTTGGAACTTAAATAACCATAGAAAGAAACATTAAGGGACTAAGAGCTCCTAATGGCTAGAACAGTTTTTTTCCACTTTGCAATGGGCAAAGTCTAAAGATTTTTGTATGCTAATACAGAAAAAACTAATATAATTTACAGAGAGGAAAACCACCAAAATAAGTTTCATACAGGGAAATACTATACTTTAGTGTGTTAAACTTTACAGCCTGCTAATTAAGTCAAACTCAATGAGCACGTTAATAAGTGCAGTCTACTGCTGAATATTTTTACCAGCAGGTATGTATGCAACTGTTGCTTTCACATATCCAGCTCAGATGCATAAACTGAGCTTGTATGAGCATGTATCTAAAAATTCTTTGTCAGGCACCTGTATACTGCTATAGTGGCTTAAAACTATATATAAATGGTTGTGTCTGCAATAATTCCAGATACATATTTTCCTGTGGAAGTTGTTATAAGCTTATTGTGATGCTTCAAGTTTGCAGCACAAGTGCTGGTGAAACTACTCTTAATTACGGTTTAAGACAAGTTATAAATATACATGGAACTTGGAGGGTTAGTTTTACCTTGCATCACTTTTTCCATGCTTTTGCTGTTAACTTACGAATATAGGATTGATATGTTTGCTTTCTTATGTAAATATGGATGGCTTAAAACTCCAACATTCTGGCTCTTACTGAAATTAAGGAAAGTTATGTATTAAGCTACATACAAGAAAATTACTGCTAATTAATAAGTAGCATTCTAAACACTCGATAATAATCAGATAACCATGGATCTACACCAAGCACAAAAAATATCTGTAAATGTGCTGAAGCAAAGTTCACAAATGCCACTTCACGTTTTTTTTTCCCAATGTCTATGTATCCAGCACAGGCCTCTTCATAACCCCATTGTGTAGAATTCTCATAATGTATTAATCATTGAAAGCTTGGTGTTAACTGATGTTCTTTTTCTGTACTATGGGTTTCCTTCCTTGGAAACATGTTTAAATGAAGCAGGAAGCTGACTTAAGATTCTAAAAAACAGAACAGTAAAAAACCATACCTGATAACTTGCAGAACTTGGTTATAATGTTCATATCTTGCTCATCAAACAGTCTGACATCATCCTCATTCTCCAAGACTGCTCGCAGCACCACTAAAAAATTCTGGAGGTAATATGGGTGACCAGAAGAGCAAATGTCATTTATCTGGTCTAAAATGTCCCCAATGGAATTTTGAAATTCTACCTCTTTCACAGTTTCTGACAAAGTATGATTAACCTCATCCTTAAAGTCTTCATGAACTTCCACAGGAAGTACTTGTATATCACCTTTGCTAAAGCAATTTTGTGTACCAGAGTTCACTTCCTTCTTGGAAGAAGGAATATGCCGAGTATGAGGCTGAGTCTTGACTTCCAAACTACTGAGCAGCTCTGCTGAAGTAGAAATAGCTAGATGTGTTTCAAATTTGTCAGGACTATGTATCACACCTTCAGACCTTCTTTCTGTTTTGGTGCTCCCTGTACCAACAGGTAACCTTTGACCTTTAATGTCAGCAGCTGGTAATGATACCTCAACAATATCCACAAGGTCTTCTCCATTATGTTTGTTTATTTCTTGTAATTTGGGTTCCTTTGATACATTTTGTTCCTGATGCTCTGTCTGAGCAAGTTGATTTTCTTTCTGAGAACTATTCCCAGCATAAATCTCATCATCACCATTCTGTGCTGCAGCACTTTTGCACATATTGTGACCTGCCGGAGGTGAAGAGTTGATCTCTTTATATGTGATCTGTTTTCCTCCCTGGATACGTCTTCTGGACAGTTTAGATGACAAGCTTCCCAAAGAGACTATTCTAACTGTTTCAGTCTGTGGTTCACTGTTGACACTACAAAGTGAAGTACTATTGCTAAAATAAGGACTTACTTGTGCTGTACTCGATTCTGTTTTCAATGAACTGCTTTTGGAAGGACTTGTTTCTAGATTTAAGGGGTTTTTTGAAAAGTACAAGCTGGAATTATTGTTCACATTTGAAGCTGGGGGGCTCCCATTCCTAACAGAGCTGAGTGTTGAATCACTGACACCAGTCTTGCCATGATTTCTCTGACATGTTTCATCCATGTGCTCATGAATTCTGTACATTGGCACAGCTTGCCCACACATGGAACAGGTAATTTTGGCAGGGGGAGCATTGCTAAAAAGGGAAATAATAGAGGACGATGCTGGAGGTATAGATGGTGTTCCTTTACCTTCCACTTTTTTTGTTGTTCCTCGTTTCCTTTTATTTTTACCAAGTGACAAACTTGTTCCAGGCCTTTTAACTCCCGAAGACCCAGCTTCTGCCATGACAAAACTTCAAAGCCTTTACAAGACAGAGGCAACTTCATTCAGGCCGTATCTCCTTATTCTAAGCCTTTACTTGGCTTTGCATTCTCTACCTGTAATCCTCTGACGTGCCTTCAACAACAAAAAATATATGGAATGCAAGATTTTTTGAGGTACCAAACGCAACGCAGACTAACACTGAAGAAGACAAACCCTGGAGGCGAACAAGCGATCCTATACTGCTACAGTGCAACCGCCCCTTTCCCCCCCCACCACACACACAAGCAAGAGCACCACGGCTGCCGTACGAGCACCGCTGGCCTCAGGGGAACGGCCTGAAAGAGGGGAGCACCCCGTGCACTCATGCCAGCTAAGCACCGCGTTCACTTACAGATGTACACGCAAGCCGGAGATGGAATTCTACCCCAGGGCGGTCAGCTCCTCTAAACGGTGCCGTGCTGCGCGCTCACACGCACACCGCTTCCCGGCGCCATCCGCCCGCTCTCACAAGCGTTCCCGCGCGGAGTGACGCGGCCCGGGCCCGTTCCGCGAAGCGCAGCGCTGCGGCTGAGGCGCCGCAAGCGGCTCCACGCGCGGTCTCGGGGCTCCGAGCTCAGCTCCCGCCCCTCCTTCCGCGCCGGGACACGTGCGGCCGGCCCCAGCACCGCCCTCACGCACCGCACTGCGTCCCTGAGCCGCGAGAGGCCTCAACGCCTCGCCCCGCCGCCAGGCCAGCCAATCCATCGCCGATGGCGGCCCGGAGGCCTGGGCACCAGAGCGCGGATCCCGGGTAGCGCCCGCCGGGAAAGCCCCACCAACCGACATCTTACTAAATCCAACGTTTCCTTCAAACAACGAAGGGTGAACACCTTCCTTTAGAAACGGGAAGGAAGAGCAGGAGCTGGATGCTCAAATACTGACATATCCACCCTGAGAAACATCTTGTGACACCATTTGCTTACTCGAGTTACTGCAGAGTTAAGAAGCTTCCATGTCCTCCCTCTCGGTAATCACAACTTCAATAGATCATTTCCAATTTATAGCACCTGGATAAATCTTAAGTTCTTCAATAAATGTAGTTATTCCTGCAATAGATACAGAGCTATTACAACAGCAGACAGAAAAGCTATGGCCCAAACTAAACTACAGCCAAATGTTCAACATGGTTATGTGTTTGGCCGTGGCAAGAAGCTTTGTTTTTGGAATAAAAGGATATAATCAGACTTCTCCGTTAGAAAATAAAAGTAAAACCTAAAGAAAAGTCTCTATCACGCTGTAGAAGTTCACAGAACATTAGAAGACTGACAGAACAAAACCTACTAAAAAATGAGAATTTATGTAGAAACCTTTTAATATATACAAAGTGCAACATATGTAAAAAGGTAAATTACAATTTCAGTTTATGAACAGAGGTTGCTGTCTGCTTCTTCTGTTTCTTCTTTAACTTGCTTGCATCTTTGATTTGCATTTTTACTTGATCTTGCAGTTGAGAGAAGAAGGCCTGGGATGATTTCAAGACTTTGTCTTTACCTTCATCCTATCAACAAACAATACACCCATTATAACCACATTTACAAACAGTATCATTATACTTACTCACATATAATGGTATTAAACTTAAAAAAAAGTAATCTGATAATTGTTTTTCAAAGGATGTTTTTCACTGCATTCTTATACCACTCCTGCCATCTAAAGAAATAAAGAGTTCCCTTTCCAGTTAGCATGGTAGGTTAAGAAAAGGCAGCAGGAATAGATCTTTGCACAACATGAGCTACAACGTATCTGCATTTTGTGTTCCACTCTCCTTTTGAAAAGTAAGCACTTTCTAGAAGCATTCAAGAATATTCTGTAAGTAATCAAGTTATTTTTCCTATTAGTTTCTAATACCTTAAAATTTCAGAATTAAAAAAAGAATAATTTATAAAGGCATCATAGGTGGTACACAATTTTACTGTTTTATAGTATATTTGCATATACACTATGGATATTGTATATGCAAAACGAGATCTGATGAGATTACCACTGACATTTGAGTGGTAAGCAAATACCACCTGTCTACAAGGATTTTCTGAGGCAATGGAGAGAGATGAGGAGATGTAGTTGTGCGAAAAGGGATGGGAGGGAAAGAAACCCTGAACTTCATAACTCTTTATCACAAAGTTCCCTTTTCCCTTTCTCTAACTAAATATTATCGATCCATGGGATTTTAATATTGTTTAGCTGGGAAAGCCCCAAGTTATACAGGACTGCTTAAGAGAGCCCTACCTTGAGCAGAGAGACTTTGCCTTCTTTTGTCAGCCTTTTTAATGCTGCTGCAGCAGCTTTTTTGCTAAGTTTTGTGCCTTGTTCTGGTTTCATCTTTTCAAGAAGCTTTTGACGTTTCTCCTTTTCTCTTTGCTTCATGCGTTTACGAAGCTTCTTCTTTCTGCGTTCTCGTTTTTTGTCTGTGGGAGTCTTTTCTGCATCTGTTTTTACATCACCAGCTTTGTTCTTTTCCTAAAGAGAGCAAGATCTCCAGATCCATAAGCATGCAAAAGAAAAGACTTGCTTCACAATACTCAAATCTTAGTTTTCTGCTATTTCTAGCATTCAGGCAGCTCAGGGCAATGCTGCATTGAGGTAAAAGCCAAAAACCAGCAAAAGTTGGGAACTGAGTTATACAATTGATCAAAGACATGCCAATTGCTCCTCCCTATTGTTATTTAGCTTTCCCTTCCGTATACCTATATACATGTGGGAAAATAATTATCATCATGTAGTAGTCAAGAACAAAACCACAATGATCTTAAAGGTTTTTTTCCAACCCTGCTGATGGCCTAGGGTAGACAAAATTAACGCTTTCCCCTCCTTCCCGTTATCAAAAACCAAATCAAACCACAAAACCCTGCAATAAAATGCATCCCCCCAAAGAAAACCCCAACCACCACTAAAATGCAAAGCTGGAAATTCCACAAGGTGAGGAACCCAGGCTGAAAGGGGGCAGATTCCTCCCACTGATCCAGTGCACCTTTCTACCAACAACAGAGATCCCCTCTCAATTCTTAGGTGATTTTTATTGATATTTACCTTGATCTCCTCTGGTGCTAAGAGAGCAGCATCACTAACGGCAACAGGTGCTACTTCTTCCATACTTACAGCTGGAAGGTTTGAAACTATTTTAACTTCTGGCACAGGCTAGAAATAAGGAAACATATTCAGGACTCAGAACACCATCTCACAGCAGCTTACAGCTAACTGAAGATACTAAATATCTGCATTTATTTAGAGGCAATTACAGCACATTTAATATGAAATAAAAACAACCACAGTACACTCAGTGTTTATTTTAGTATCCCATTTCAAAGTGGGGGAACCCAACTTTATGAAACTTATGTACTTACCGGTTTGGGTGTGAAGTGGAAGTTACAAAGCGCATCCAGCTTCTGAAAGAGTGAATCCATCATTTCCTGAATTTCTTTGTGTTCAGGATTTTCTTCCTCTTCAGTCTTTTGCTGCATTAATAATGCAGTATTATTGCAATATCATTCATAAAGCTATTTTACTTGAGTAAGAGTGCTAACAACACAATATATAATTCAGAACAATTTTACTGGTGAACACTCAGAGAAAGATTGAACTGCTTCCAGAAAGCTGAACTTCAAATCAAGAAGAAAGACACTGCTTATGTTACCTGGTGAAGTTTCATGTATTCTTGCTCATAGATCTCAGCGAGACTCAGTTTACTCTTTTCAGAATCCAAAGTGATACGTTTCTTGTATTCAAAAGCATCCTCTTTTGGTTTTTCTTTTGGTACTACATCATCCCATGCCTGAGAAAGTTATGCAACTACAGTCAAATAACAGGTGCCACAGCTTATTTAGAACATTTTTCATATTACTTACATGACATATTAACTAGTTTATGCATGTAGCTTCCCAGGAACACACTGTATCACACTTTCATTTGAAGGGAAAAAAAATACCAAATAGACAGCTCACACAGCTCTAGCTTGTGTACTTTTCTTTAGTGGACTGGCGTAAAAACTGCACAAGAAATAATGAATGTGTCATGTTCTTTAATATTTTTACCCATATGTACCTTCTTTTTTTTTCCTATTTAACTAACAAGCCTCAATAAGCTGTGAGATACAAATCTCCTAGCAGTAGCTTTTAAGAAAAATTAAGTAAACAATGGAGTTTGGGGTAGTGTTCAGAATGCTTGGAGCATGCCAGTTACGGTAACAGACAAAATTTACAGACTGACTTTATATTCCAAATAAACTCATCCCAGTTTTATCTGCAAACACTCATTTTTTCTGAAGCACACCAAATCCTAGCATGTAACAGGCAAGTAAAAACTGAGGTCCTTAGAAATATGGCAAAAAAATATAACAATTAGTTGCAGAAATTAAGATAACACCTAACAGTTTAAAAGCTTCAAACTCATGCTCCACACGTGCCCTGTAAAAAAATCTGTGAACAAAATAGGGAAAAAAAGTAGTAAAATACTAACCTCATCCAATATTCTCTGTTTAATGATATCTTCAAGCTGAAAAGTAGTTTCTTCCGTGATCACAGGTGCTGAGAGGAGAAAGAGAAGAATTTTAAGATTAATGTTTCTCCAGCAAGAAATACTTTTTGTTCTACAAAGCATAAGCAACAGAAAGTAAAGCCTTCACAAAAATGTGCCAACTGAAGGCAAAGGAAGTAAATAATGTTTTTCTCTATCTTGAAGAGACTAATTATATTATGCAAGGCTTCTAAATTACTAAATCTGCCACCGATTTAATAAATGTTCTGTTCAGTTAAAAACAAAAAATATTACAGTTTCACCACAAAAATGCACAACCTCAAAAACACACCAGGAGGTTTAACTTAGTGTTTTGTTAACCTGTGCTTGAGTCCCCTGAGTCACAAACGTTTTCAGCAAAGTCAGAGTGTTTCAAGAAAACCCAACATGGCACGCAACACGCTTTCAGGACAGCCCTTACTCACTACTTACCCATTCGGACTGCATGGTCAAAAAGTACTGTTTCCTCCAAAAGACTATTTTCAGGTCGTTTTTGTCCAGTCACTTCTCCTTTAAGCTGCCAAGGTTTCTCCTCTAACAACTCGTCTTCTAAACTTTTTATTTTTTTGCTCATCTGAAAAACATGATTTCCTAAGAAGTTTAAAACACAAAAGCTCTCAAGTAAACTTAAGACAGGAACTTAATAGTTATTTCAGGTACTTTAACTCCTTCTCCCATGAAGACAGGGAACACATGGTTGCATGTATATCTGGTATAGAGAAGCCACTTTTTTTCCCCCCCCTTAATTTGTGAATAGCCTTTTCATATTTGCCAGAGACTGAACACACTACATGATCAATAAGAAAAAAATAAAAATTGGATGCTGTATTGAAGTATTAGCAAAATAAAGGAAACAATTACCTTTTCCTGTCTCTTCTCAAAAGATGACTTTATTTCACTGGGATCGCTGCCCTTCTCTAACTGTGTATCAGTAATATCTTCTGTTTCACTGTCATCTGGCAAACTAAAAGTAACCTTTTTGGAAGATTCTTTACTTCTCATATTCTCCACCATCATTTCATTCATATCGTCAACCCTGTAATATCAAAATTTAATGTAAAGTAAGGTCGAAAAGCTTCTATAATTTTTACATGAAGGTATTCCAGCCATTAGTTTACCTGTTAAACCGATGCACGCATAAGAAATACAAAGGCAGGAGACATTAGGAAAATTTCTATATATTAAAAGTAACTTTCAAGAACTGAAGTTACAGCTACTAAATGACTTATTCAAATAAACGTCAAGAAACAATGCTTTAAAGATAAGCAAATGAACTACTTTTTAAATCAGATGACAATGCAAATCATGACTGTGCAACAAGTAACAGAGAATGGCAAACCATGACCAAAGTAAGCCTGCAATCAGACTTCATTTTCTGCTTTATTTCAGTGTACAATCACAAGGATGTTCTTAACTGCAAATAATGCATATACTTACTCAGACATGTTTTCTTCATTCTGCTCTTCAACAGCACTGTCCCCTTCCTCTTCCTGATCATCTTCAACATCATTAGCTACTAAATCGTCATTGACCGGATCAAAGTAATCTTCATATGTCAAGTCTCTAGAACATTTAATTGGCTAAGAAGGGCAAAGGGAAAACAAACCAAAACAAACCAAAACTGTCAAGACTGACAGAAGTCTAACGTTATCGGGTCTTAAAGGATTAAAGTCTTTAGCAAGTGGGGAATAGCACTACCTGTTAAGAGTAATACATTTTAGTGAAATATTAACCTGTGTTAGGGCATCTAAGTAATGCTAATCTCTTGTGTAAGTATTTAAAATATCCTACCACTGAAATTCATTTCTAATTTCAACATATACAGCAGTCAAAGAGCAGTAGATCTTGCCAACTACTTGTCAAAATGCGTACATGTTCCATTGTACCCTGGGCATAGTTCTTATTTGCTAGTGGAAATCTCTGGTAACATTAATCAGTTACAAAACCAGTCACCTTAGAGATCTCCAGATACCAGATGTCAATGCTAAGTGACACATCTTTTTAATTTGCTGGGTTACCTATTCTGCAATTCTGCAAGGTCATTTATTTCTTGTGACATACTATACTATCTCTTCCTTTATTCATCTAAAACCAAGACTGATCTAAAGAGTATGTTCTTCTATACTAGGACATTTTGTCACCAGATATTCATGTTAGATAAAATGAAGCTTCAGAAGTAACCATTAGTCATCTAATCAATGTTAACTTGGAATTTTCTACTCAAAGCTCAACAAGTTATAGTCATCCTAACAAATATCAGGTTTTGATTTAAAGGAAAATAGGTATTAGAAATTTAATCTGCTGATATTCTTACTTTGACTGTAGCTTCTTCAGATTCTTCTTCATCATCTGAGATGATGTCTTCAAAATAATTAATATCATCTTCTTCCTCCCTATTTTCCTTCTCTGCATGTTCTAAAAAAGCTTCCATCTCAGCCAGCTTGAAAAACTTGTCATCCACTATAGATTTTCTTCCCATTTTTTTCAGTGTGGTTTCCTTGGCTGTTTTAGTTTCTTGCTCCAGTGCCTCAATATCAAAGTCAAGATCAGAATCCTCATCACTGCATTTCTGCATTATGCTTTCTTTGAGTTTACGCTGCTTTTCTTTAGCTTTAGTTTTATCTTTTGTATTCTTCTGTTCAGTTTCTGCATCCATTATGGTGTCTTCGAACTCCTTGTTGCTGCTGGTCTCTGCATCAGAGTCATTCTCTTCCTGATCTGAGAGAAGGCAAAGACCTTCATCCTTGGCATCCCTTGCAATGGACTTCTTGAAGAAATCGAGAACTTCATTGTTCTGGAGCTCTAGCTGCTGCCAAATCTGTTCTTCATCAAAGTTTTCTATCACCAGCTGTTTTAGAGGACCCCCACGAACTATATTACTTCCCAGAGCTTTATTCAAGTCATAGAGAATCTTTGTTAATGCTCTGAAGTCAGAAGACAATCCATCTTGCACACTAAAGTAGAAAAAAAATAAACAGAGCTTTTAAAAAAGCAAGTTAGTATTAATTTATTTTCTATTTTGCAGAATTTACTAGCTTTCATTCATTTTGCACCTTCCCATTAAGTTAATCACATAGTCATGCTGCAGCTCTTATATGCTTAGGTATTTTGGTGCTACACAATAATACCTTTCAACAATTATTGCTGATGCTTACTTTCTACACATTTCTTGGGAGTACATTCCTTGAAATAAAGCCATTCATTACAGCTTCATTACAATGAGTGTATAAAGTAGCAACTGAAAATAATATTCCACCCTTCTACGTAGTTGTATTTTACTGTATCTTGGGGAAGTAAATCGTATAGCATTAGACACCTCTGAAATGCACGATACGGTCCCTTGACTTTAAAAAGGCAATTCCCTATCCAAGAAATTGTGAAGTCATTTTCTTCTCTAAAACCACCCATGCTTCAGCATAGCCCGTAAACCCCAAACCTCCGTCTCCCAGCTCCCGAAAGCTGAAGGACGGACCCTGCAGGTCTCGCCGCTGTTAACAGCTCCGCGGCCCCGGCGTGGCCGCCGGCAGTCACGCGGCCTGCCGCAGACCGCCGAGTCCCGCGCGCATGGCGGAGCAGCCCCCGCGCACATACGGTTCGGCACTGGCGGCTCTCGGCCGCTGCAAGGCTTCATCCCGCAGTACCTGAGGAAGCGTTCGGGACGCGCCGCGGCGGCGCCCGCCACCCTAAGGCACGTCTCCAGACCCTTCACTGCCGCCATCTTCCCGCCAGCCGAGGAGCATGGACCAACCAGGCGGCACCGCCCCCTGGGGCACGGGCTGTGCGCTCCGCGCGAGTCCCGCGGCCGGCACCGAGGTTCCGCGCACCGGAGTTCCGGCTCGGCTCCCCGCCCGTGCTGCTGCCACAGAGCCCCCTCGCTTGCTCATGTTACACCCTCTGCTTTCGGCGCGCCTGCTCGCCTTCGCACTGAACCGCCCGCAGGGTGCTGCACTCATTCACTGATGGCTGCTGCTGCTTCCTAGCCTTGGAAGAGCGCGATGCTGCTCTGGATTGGGATGTTCATCAACACTGGAAACACTCCTCTAAATATAGTGCCGCTGCAGTCATCTTTGCAGTTGCATCCCTGACCTAGATAGAAGGGCTATTTTGGAACCACACATTTCCAGCTTATTCTGTGAGCAAAAAGCCCGACGTTACCTGTGTCTGCAAGCTCCCAGGTAGCTAGGCACCCATTCACATGCGTATGCCATTAACTTGCTAGCTCTGCCCAGTGTTCAACTGCTTTGTTACTTTATATCGCATAGCTTCCTCAAAGTTTATTTTGTGAAGTCAAATTAAGCACTGCACCCACAGACTCTTGTGAGGAAGCTGCAGCTGGAGGAGACAACCCGTTCCATTCCTCTTCCATGCTGCAAAACACACCGACAGGGGCTGCCCGCGTCTGCATTCACCCTGCTGCTCCCTGCCCCAGCCATCCACAGCCGTTCAGTACCTCGATCCAAAACTGTGGCTGGCCTCTTAGCTTTGTTCTTGTGACTGCCTCTGCCGTTCCTCTGCTGCTTTCATGTTCTCTTCCTACCAACAGCAGAAGTCTTTTCAGCATAAGGAAAACAAAGCCCTGCTATGCAACTTCTGTGTGCCTTCTCATTGGCACTTTGCACTCTTAAGAAGCCTTTGTGTGGAGCAGTGCCCAGCCAGCAGAGGCCTGAGTGCGACCTGCACCAGAGCTTCTCTGACCAGCATAAGCATATCTGACACTTTACAACCTCGGCTGGAAGCAAAAAGCATCTTATCTTGAGACTCTTAAATACCCATTTTGACTACTGACTTTGATCTGCAGTTTTAATTATATCAGATTTGAAATGGCACAAGTATTCTGTATGTACCAGAGCACCTGCCATGACCTATACCCCTGACACAACAGGGATGCAGCATCAGAAGACAGCCCGCTCATTGTCCCGAATCTCTTTTGCACAAGTGCTTTAGTCAGAGAACTTCCTCTCTCTACATGTGTCCCTTGCTATCGCTGGCATCTCGCACTTCAGCGCACCAAACGGCTGCGGATCCCTGCACAGCCGCCTGCCCACACTCAGGCCGCACGCTGCCTGGCAATTGGCGCCCGAAGGAGTCCTCTCCTCCCGCGAAATAACCGGGCAGCTAAGCCCGCGAGCCCAGCAAGGGCTGACGAGCCCCTCGCCCTGACACTGCCAGTGGCGCTGCCGGTGCCCCGGACCAAGACGCTCTGGTGGCGCCGGTCCTGTAAACTCAGCGCCGAAGGGGTCGCGGCTCGGGCGTGTTTCCAGCGCCGCGCGGCGCAGAGGCGGCGGCCGCTGCTATGGTGACGGCGGAAGGAGGCCGCTCCCCCGGACAAGGCCCCGCCCGCCGCGGCCGGGCCCAGTGCGAGCGGCGAGATGGCGGCCTGCCTGGGGCGCGCGGTGGCCGGTAACGTGGGCGCAGGGCGGGCCGGTGCGGGCTGCGGGGCCAGTGACGGGCGGTCGCGGGTCTCGGTGCTTGCTCCGGTCTGGAGGTCTGGCTCGCGGCGGCGGGCAGCGCCGCTTCGCGCGGGGGCCCGGCGGGCCGTCAGGGCGGGACCGCGCCGCCCTTGCCTGCCTTGCGGTGCGGCAGCGGGTCCGAGGCTCCCGGTGACAGCCTTGCAGGCCGCGACAAACCAGAACTGCTTTTATACGTGAAAACAAGCCCTCATGATCCAGATGACAGACACGTTAACAACGGGCATTCTCAGGCTTAGAATAGGCTTATGCGGCAAACTCCAAGCTTAATACTTGATCCACAAGAAACAGCTTGCCTTTTTTAAGGTAGAAGCTGGAGGTCAAATGCAGAAGCATTCCTGTTCATTATAATTATCTGGACTGTTAGCTCTCTTCGTTGTAAGGGCAGGTTAAACTTACTGTATCTAAACCACACCATTTCACTCAGTAGACTTCCAGAGAAAAGTGAATAAAGAGAGTCAGTGTTTCAGTGATAGGTCTGTGAGATACCGGGAATGAAAACACCTTTGTGCAATTGCACTTTGATGGAAGAAACCAGAGCTGCAGTAAAGTGACACTCAATTTCTAGGAACTATGGAGCCCACCTAATTCCCAAAAAAACATCTTCTGCACAGAGCAAAGCATCTTTTCGGATGGCCTAAGCCTTGTTGGCTGGCCAAGTTTCAAAAATGCTAACATCACCTTGAAATTGTTGGTATTTAAGAAGGGGCAGACAGCATCCATATACCAGATTCCTTATGACCGTAACATCCTCTCCATTCCTGGCAGTTTCTCTCAACTTCAGGTGGTTGACAGCAGAACAGTGCCCAGTGACAAGGTTCTCCTTACTGTGACCTGCAGTTGTATAACCTCCCCATAGAGAACATGACTGAATTCAGTTGGATTTGGCTTGTGTTTCATGACTTAGCCAAGTAAGTCAATGATCACTGCCCCGCATAAGGAGCAACAAGCCTATGAATAAAAATTTGAAGGAAGAGGATCTTATTTTATGTGGTACTTCAGATTTGTTACTTCACATTCATAATCTGCGCTGTTATAGAATGTAAGCCTCCACTGGTACAACTGTGCATGTTTAAACTCTGATGTGCATAATACTAGTAGATCAGTGAACCATTAATAGAATAAAGCCCAAGTAAATAAATTTTAAAACATACTTCGAATGAAGCTGAAGAAGGTGACATAGATTCTGCTTTATCACTGAGACTAGGAAGCCAGCAATCGTGTAAGAGAGTAGGGTCAGATGAATCTTCTGTAAAGGACAAATTCAGATTTGGCTGTCAGTGTTTGAAAAATAAGTTCTTAAAAAACCCTACAAGTAGGGCAAATGATGTATATACCTGCAGAAGCCACTGCATGTGTGAATTTAGTCAGCATATGCAAGTTTTTGAAGCAGGGCAGATACTTGGATAGACGTGTTAGTCAGAATATCCACTTGGTTCAAAAGAAGCAGAGAAAGTTGGTTTTCTTAACACTGGAGAAAGTTAAGAATTACTTGAATAATTCTATAAGTCAGTTGAGAAATACTTTTGTTATTGAGGAATTTAGCCACAACAGTTAATAGGAGTAGTTTTTGATATATGCATAAATATAAGTGTTTCTTTCCTGAAACATGGAAGTAATGGGGTTTCAGTCTGAAATTTTCCAAAAAGCTTTCTTTTTCACTGCAGGGTCATCTTTTGATTATTGGATTAGAAGGAGAAGATGAGAATTTTAAGTAACTAATCTATAATTGTTACTAATCTGTATAATACAAGAAAACCACAAATGGTTTTTGTTTAATCTCAGACAATTCATACTGGTAATTATCAGTTTAAAATTAAAGCTCTGTATACATATGACTAGAGCTAGGGTAAATTCACAAGACTCCTTGAATAAAGTAAAAAAACCCCACCAAACCTGCAGAAAAGTCCACTGCCCCTACATACTCAGGAAAAATATACAGAGTTCTACCACCCAATCCATAATTGAGAGGAAGAAATAGATGCATAAATAATATTGTTATATGGGTGGGCATTTAAGTATCTTTGACTTTATAAGAATTCTAGAAATATACTTAACTTTTTCAATCTATTACCATTCCAGATACCACACCACAAGAATCAAACATTTCTTAGGCAGAACACAACAGAAGTAGCATTTTCTACTCTTTTAGCTATTGCTTCAGTAATAACTGAGTAACAGTCTGCGTGTCTAATTTCTGTTGATTTACAAAATGCAAATTAAAATATAATAAGTATGTAGTCATACACCCTATGTGAAGTACAGCAAGAATTACAGATGGGAGATGTAAAAAAAAGAAGGGAAAAAATCCTAGCCTTTCCCATCCATACAGATTGTTTGAAAAATCTGTATTAGTAGTCATTTCCACTGAACTGTGGTCTGTTAATATTTGGAAGGAATGAAACAATAAAAGGCTCTAGGGAACACAAAAAATTATATAGTAAGTGATCCTTATATTTCAAAGGATATTTGTGTTTTGGAGAATACTGACCTGTATGTGAAAGAGAATCTCTTGCTTCAGCAAGAACTGAATCAGGATATTTCTGTGTAGAAGTTGCTAGGGTAGTATTTTTTATCATTGAACACTACTTGGAAAAGTTTTTTAGAAAAATAAAAAGTTGACAAGTACTTGGAAATACTGCTTTACTATGCCATTATGATAGCCTAAAGGTAACCAGTGAAAAATGATTTTGTAGAACTTCTGTCTGTAATGAAGGAGATGAAAGGATGTACTATGTGAAGGCTGACAAAAAATATTCCAGGGCAATCACTTGCAGAACTGGGCAAGTTTCTGGAAATACTTAAAGTAGGATGTTGATTTAGTATTCTCAAAAGATTCTGAAGAGACTTACTTTTGTGGTACTAAGTCTTTGGAAGTATGTACATTGCAGTTTTAAGTCTCAAACACACACAAACACTTCTTCCTTCATCACAGCACAATGCTCAGAAGGCTCTTAAATTCAAGGACTGCATTAGTTGTCTTTGTGAAGAAAAATCAACTGATAGTTGTGGAGTCTTGAATTCCTGTGAAATGGTAGTTCTCATTTTCATTCAGTGAAGCTACCAGCTTAATTACAGCTAATAATCTTACAATTACTACTAACCTTACAGAGTACAAAGAGTCTGGGAAAATGAAGCCAGGCTATCCTCACTGTATTGGCAAAGCATCAGAATCTCATTGCATGCTTGGCACAATCTCTTAGCAAAATAGCACATTTGTGACTTTAAAGCTAAGAATGGCTCAAAGACTTCCAAAAATGCTGAGATGCCTCTAGCTTGGTTTTGAGGCACTGTGAACTCTGACATGGCCTAAAGCAAACTGGCATAAAATAAAAATGCAGGTTTTTTTGAATATATCCCTTCATCTAATTCTAATTCTGGTGCTAGAAACAACTGATATGATGACAATTTCTCCCCTAACCTCTCTACATTCTAGACTCAGATTAATTTTTAATGTAATTAATTTGTAAGTATCCTCATTTTATATCCTTTTCTCAGTGGTTGGTTGGTTGTTTTTTTTTAACAGGGAACCCTAGAACTATTTGTAAGCAACACAGCATTTTGACACAGATAGCGCAAAGTTCAGTACTGCCTTGTCAGAGCAGTCAGTGAAGAGTTCTGAGCATATCTAAGCAGTTTTTCATGACACAGAGTTTCTCCATAACCTCTCCACCTTTTGTCTACATGTTAGCCCTTACCTTTGTGTCTTATGGTCATCCAATACTATTTGTAATTAGGTTTTCATTTATCACGAACCAAATCATATTCTTTTCCTTTTGTAAGTCATACTGTAGTCAGTGACACTTGTTACATTTAAAAGGCTTTTAGGATTTTAACCTTTAAGAATGATCTTCAAAATTATTATTGGTCAGTTGGCCAAAATATTGTTCACAGTACTTAGAACTGAAATATTTCTATGCATCTTGAAACAGATCAGTGAAACAAGTATAAGACCTGTATGGCATGTGAAAGGTAAGAAGAGCAAATGACTTAATAATCTGAGAAAGAGAAAATAAGAAATAGTGAGATTTTTTGATTCCTTAAGCTTCAGCTACAACAAGACATTTCATTCCTCGCTAGAGTTAGTTCTGACACTTGGGAGCTGAAATCCTTTCTTTGCCTTCTGCATCTTGCAGTATCACTTCTGTCCAAGGTTTTGTCTAAGTTTTCTTACTTATTTGTTATGATCTCTAGATGAATAGGCATACATCATTTCTTTCTCTATTTTGTAAGAAGCTCTGAAGAAATCAGAAGTAACTTTAAGTACATTATATAGTTGAACATTACATTTGGCCATGTATTCCTCTTTTTAACAGGCATGTCTAAGCATTTACATCAAATTTGTGTTTGGTTTTAGTTTTGTTTTTTATACTTCTGAATAATTTCAGTCTCTGAAAAAAACTTAATTGAACTGTACTACAGTATAACTCTGTCCTTGGTCTCAGCTTTGCACACTGGTGTGCTTATGACATAGGAGTTATTGAAAGGGGATAGAGCAGAAAGGGGATAGAGCAGATACCGATACTTTCCCCAAAACACTGTGCTATTCACTTTTTTTCAGGGCTTCTTACCAGATTACAGACTTCAGCTACTACATCACGAACTCTATTACCATCCAGCTCCTGTTCTCAGAACATTCCAAGCTGTTTGTGGAAACTGGGACGACTTAATCATGTAGCGATTGCAGTACCTGATTTGAAGAAAGCTCAATCCTTGTATAAAGATGTGTTAGGAGCACAGGTGAGCGAGACTGTTGCTCTTCCCGAACATGGTGTCTACACTGTTTTCGTGGAGCTGGGAAATACCAAGCTGGAACTTCTACATCCTTTAGGAGAGGAGAGTCCCATTGCAAGCTTTCTGCAAAAAAACAAGACTGGAGGAATGCACCATATCTGCATTGAGGTATTTTAACACAATATAACATGCAATAAGATAGAGACATATCTGCATAATTTTTTTATAGGTTTGACCTGTCAAGATCTGTCAAGAACAAATATATAAAACTGTCATAATTGTGAAAATTTGTATTGCATAAGAAGTAGTCTTAAACATGACTTTTTCCATTTTGGAAATCACATGAGCTATGTGATATTTTTTTCCTCTTTCAGGCTATAAAGATTAAACTGGGGAGGGGAGGGATAAGTATCCAGTGTGGAAGGTGGACAAGCCCAAGGGCTTGTGAAGAGTGTTTGACAGATGTGAACTTCCTGACATAGAAAGGACACACTGGAAAAAGACAGTTTTAAGTTTAAGCTAAGGCATAGATTTAGATTTTCAGAAGTTTCTGTTTGATGTTTAGTTGATAATTGTATACAGAAGTCAAAAAAGATTGACAGTTGTACTTACCAAACAGCAGTAAAGTTGCCAGAGTTCCTTCTGTCCTGTTCTTCCTTGTCCATCAAAGAGAGATTGGTCTGGGAGTACACAAGATGTAAAGGTGCTGGTAAAGTACTTATCTTATAAATATACTCATGTTTTAGTGTAGATGTTTGATGCAAAGTGTCATCCTGCTGCCTATGATGTATGTTTTTAATATTTTACAGATCTGAGTCTTCCAAACTTCATTATTTCATGCAAAGTGTAATAATAAAAAGTAACGGGATTACTGATGTAAAAATTGTTTTCCGAATACATCTATTATAACCAGTGTTTGCAGTTGCATGCTTTCTTCAAGAACTGATAAATTTTGCATACACACAGGCAATGCAGTTTTTCTTACATTGTTTGACTATTTGCAGATACTCAAGAATAAGAAAATGAATGCTGTTTAAATTGACCATAAATTGTATTGCTAGGCAGTTCTGCTTTAGAAATGTTTTGACCTCAGCTGAACTTGGGAAATGGGGACTGTAGAAGAAAGAAGGAAGTGGCAGTAAGACAAAATAAAAACCCTCCTGTCCTCTCTAAAACCAGTGGACTGACTTACAGGTACAGGGAAGGAAGTTGTAGGCATTTCTCAGCAAAACCAGGTCAAAACCCCCTAGGCTTTCAGGTATATGCAATCCCTTTTAAGATGTTTGAAGAAATACTTTTTACCAGCTGAAATAGCTCTATGTAGATTGGTATCTTGTATGAGAAATGATCTTGTTGCATATAAACCAAAGATGGCTGTCAAGAGAAGTCATACAGCTAATTATGAAACTTGAGAAGAATGGAACATGCTAATTATACTACATTGGACAATATAAAAGTGTGTTAAAAAAGAAAATTTGTAACTGTATACAATAGGTCAAGCAAGCCAGGGTTCATAATCTAGCAATTCATTCCTATTAATCGGGTGATCTAGTGCTACTTGCTAAATGAAGTCTTGTAAATCTCTAAAAGATAATTGGGGTGGAGAGGCAAAGATTGTCCTAAGCCCCTCATGTTTGCCTCCACATAAAAACAAATGGCAGATTATAGACTAATTTAAAAAAAAGCTGTCCATTGTTGACCTGCTGTTTAAATGGGACTGAAAACCACTACCATAGTCAATCAGAAAGATATTAACCTCCCTCCTCCAATTTTACATTCTTCTCACAATGGAAAACCTTACAATTTCAAAGATATTTTGTTTTCTGAAGCTGAGTAAAAACAGTTTTCAGAAAAACTGTAAAAGAACTTCTGTGCTAATTGACTGTTCATCTGAAATAAAAGAAGTATTTTATAGAAATATCTCTCTATGAACAATTTTTTTGCAAAAAGCTGAATTGTAAAAATTCTTTCCATACTGGAAAGGAAGCATGACAAGTTTATCAAAATGTGCTTTTACTTTCTTTTCTGTCTTACTAGTCAAAGGAAAAATTCAGACAGAAGTTTTGATAGGGTATTTGTTTCAGACAAAATAAGCATTCTAAGAAGAAATCAGATTATTCCTGACCCACTAAAACTGAATATAGTACCTGCAAAGAAAGCATGCTGGACACTTGTAGAATAAGAGAGAAATCCCATTCTGATACTCTCCTAACATGGATGTACCAGCAGGCTTTCCACTGTTTACTCTCTCTGCATCCTCAGGATGCAGTCATTCATTCCAGCTGAGCCCAGACATAGTTCTTCTTCTGGCCATCTCTGCAAGACAGGAGCAGCAGCTGCAGTAGCTTTTCTGCTTGGGGAAACAACCTGGAGGGGGCTGTGGCACACATGACATGTGCTGGTTTATTTTAGATGAAACTTGACAGTCACTTTATTTTTTTTAGCAGACTGGTAGATCTGTGTAGGAAGAACTGTAGCGAGTTCAGAATTTTCATGAACAGAATTGGTGCAGATGAGTAGGAATTAACTGATGTCTGTTCCTCTGAATTAAAGCTAGGTATTTCCTTCTTCCCTACAATGGCTTCATGCAAGTTTATTCACCAAGTTAGGTCCAGACATCTCAGTCTTGAAAAATGGCAATGGTATTATTTTAATTCCAGGTTGTTACTGATTATTGAATCTTGGATTCGCCGAACTGAGTGCTAATTTAATTACTTCAAAGAACTAATGCATTTATGGTTTGAGAAAATTCAAATTTCATCTGATGACATGACATCAGACTTAAGATCACATTATGCAGTGTAGACATGGTTTTGTTAATTACATATTTCTGCAGGAAACTGTACCGAAATATGTAAAAGCTATAATTATAATCAAGCTCAATAGGAAAACAGGTCATATTCTGGGTATGTTTCTGGTAATTCTGAGGTCTTCTTAGTAAACTTTATAAAGCTTAACCTACTCAGAAGGAAGATATATAAATCTAAAAGAGATTTTCCTTTTACCTTCTGCCTATTGCCCTCCCTTTTACCAGCATCTAATATGTTCTGTCATCAATTAGACAGGGAGGCATTTTTCTTTAGTTATTGATAGTTTGAAAGCAGTATGATCTTGCTAATAGTAGTGCAGACTTCAGATTATTTATGGAGTCCTTATAAAGTAACAATATAAAATAATCAATGGGCTTTGTGCTTGAGTGATTCTTTAATAATTTCTTAAATATAACACAATCTATTTAAACAATATTTTATAAAATCTTCAAACAACAAATGCAAACTTCTGTAGGATTTTTAAGACTAGATGTTTTAAAACTTTTATAATTTAATTTATTTTCAGAATTATATTAGAATTTAGAAATAACATTTTAGTAAGGAATTACATTATTGCTCCTAATTGTAGAATCTGCATAATACAGTGTAACATGTTAATTTGTGTGAACTGTATTTTTCTTTTATAAGGTTGATGACATAAAAGCGGCTATGACAGAACTGAAGAAAAAAAAGATACGAATATTGAGTGAAGAGCCAAAAATAGGTGCACATGGCAAACCTGTGATTTTTCTTCACCCTAAAGATTGCCATGGAGTCCTTGTGGAACTTGAGCAAGCTTGAGCTGTAATACTCATAAATAAAACAATAGATTAGTTGTGAAGTTACTGAGCTGGTGCTGGGAATATTGATGTGATATTCACTCTTTACAAGTTCACTGTAGTTGCCATGGATTAAGTACAGCTTTTGTGTACTGAAATTGTGCTACAGATTTAGGATTCTTTTTTGTTGTTGATCTGATTTTCAGAATTAGTATTTATATTTTTCAAATTCTCTATGATTCTAAAGACAAACACATAAACCAAGTAGCAATTTATGTTCTGTTGCCTCATGTTTGCAGCATGATTTTACCTCTGTAACCACAGAAACTGTAGAATTTCTAGGTCAACCCACATTATTTTGTTCTACATTTCAGAGCAGAGACCCACTTCTCAGTGACAACACTAAAGCTTATCTATTCACCTTAGAAATAAAGGAAAAATGAGCATTGTATTTTCTGTTTTCACCATTCACCATCTGTGCTCACACTGATTGGTTCATGCAATGAAAAAATAAATCCTTACATTATTATATGGTTGTCTGCAATCAGTAAATAAGTTTTCTTTGGCATAACTACGCCAAGGAAGTTAGCATGCATACATCATCATTTAGTTGTTTTATGAATGCTGTGGTTATGCAGACAGTTCAAGAAAAGTACATGAAAAATTACTTGCCTGAAATGTATTTCAGACTGTAGTGTACTTTTCATTTTATTTCTTTTTCAGGTATTGAATATTTGTTTTTTAAGCTTTAGCCATATGAAGATATCTGGGACAGAGCTGAACAAATAGTGATTAATCTTTTAACTTACTTTATAAATATGGTTTTCTATGCAAAAGCACTTGCAAAATCAGTGGCAAACAGAAGCCGCGTAGGTCTTGGTTACGAACACTGTCTTTAACATCAGAGAGTGCGCCAGTATGCTCATGTTTCTGACAGACTGCAGTCACAGTTCGTTGACTTATTCATGGGCAGTCTTCACTTTATTGGTGTACTATGCAAGCAGTGTTTGTTCTGATACTTTCTTTTATAGGTTTGCTTTGACATGTCAGCTGTAGAAATTGAAGACTTGCTGTTTCTCTCTCTAGTTTTCTTAATCCCTACAAGTCCTATTTTTTCCTAGCTAAACCACCATCTGGATTTTATATTTTCCTGCATTTCTGCATATACAGTTAATAGCTTCAGGTTGATACGAAGTTCATTTTAGTCTAAGAGAATTTTTACTTAATGGGAATGAAATTATTTCTGTTCTGCATTATATCTGCTACAATAAAACACAACTATAATGTTGACCTGAAATTTAAACAGGGCTTAAAAGACATTGATGCTCCCTCATGAATTTTACTTCTGAAAAAATCTCGACAAAGCCATCCGTTTTTTAAAGATAGTTTTGTACTCAAAACAAATACTCATTCTGCCATATTTTAAGAAAAATACAAAGTTTTTCACAGGGTTCCTGCTTTTCATCAAATCACTGTTTAGAAGGTAGTTTGTGATCTAGTTTGTGATCTAAATTTTAAATTGTTTGAATTTAGAAATCTTAAGGCTCATGATGGAAAAGCAGGGTGACTTGATATTCCTGAAATATGATTCTGCCATTCTAGGAGACATTCTACCAGTAAACCTGCTTTTCACTTTCTGTTCTTTCAGAGATGGGGAGGCATCTTTTCTGCAAAAAATTCATAGGAATGCCAAGATTAGAAGCCTCACTAGTTACATGTCAAGATAATTGAACACAAGTCTTTGAACCTAATACCCTTAATTTCATGCAACAGAAAACAGGGCAGTTCTCCCTAGGTCATACTCCATTTCTTTGTCCTGTCTGAAGGATGTGGAAATTTGTGTATAATGTGTATCAATACACTCACAGTATACTTGATATACTATGAGGGAATGGATATTTTGAGTAAACAATACTTACTTTACTTGCTTCCTTGTGCTCCCCGTTTTATTAATAGAAAGAGACTTGTAATGCTTTTTCCTGACTGCAGTGGGATTACTTAGCACTGACTCAGCTAATGTATTCTGCTCACCATAACTAAGTCAGGCTTCTATCTCACTCATAGTTCCATAAATTTCATCTAACTCTTCCTAAGGTGGAAGTCAAGATACTAATAAAAACCAGCCCCCCCAAAAAAGGGTTTAGGTCTGCAAAATTAATCAATACCTAAAACTGGGGCATGCTTACTACAAGTTCATACCATTTGGTGGGATCAGATCCCATTATTTGTCTGGGTATGTACTACAATGCATGAGAATTTTCACCTCTGAAGCCATAGACTTGGAAGGAACAGCCAAGAGAACTGACAGCTGAAGAATCTGAAGATAGCTAAGATGCATTGAGAGAAGCTTCCTGTTCATAAACCTAACTCCCATAGACTTCAGTGGGAACAGGATCAGCCCCTAAAAAACTTACAGTCCTTCACCTTAAACACAACAGCCTTCACAAGTCATTCTTTGCTCTGACTTTCTAAATGATTGGGGGCATTTGATATATGGGCCTTACCCTTGGTCACTGCCATGATTGTAAGAGGGGAGTAACATCAGTTAAATTCGGGGATGGAAACTGGAGCAATAGAGAACCATGATTTGTGGCAGTGTTCCAGTGGAGAGACACTTAGTGATATACCCCTGTTGCATCAGTATACAGCTTCTGGCATGAACAAGTGATTCAGATAACTGGAGCCTGATTAGCTTGGAAGGCAGTTTGACAACGGGTACTTGGTTCTTTGTTGGTTTGGTTGGTTGGTTGGTTGTTTTTTTGATGGTGTTTTTGTGTTTTGGTTTGGGGGTTTTTGCTTCTTCCCAACAGGTACATGAAACCTTTTTTTCTGACAATGTCAGGTTTTCAGAAGATGAACTGTCAATATTTTGCCAGTTAATTTTCTCACGCACGAGTCATTTGTCAAGTGCACGTTCCCTATTCCGGTCTTTCCATGTGTCTTTTTTCCCTTCTGAGCACAAGCATGTTCCCATTTTATGCTGCCAAAGGCAGACAAGACACATTTTTCTGGACTCCATCAACATTATGCAGCAGCTAAAGGGCTCATAATTAAATCATGCAAGATGTCTTTTTTTACTTTATGCAACCCTCAAGATGCTCCTAGGTGGGAGGAGGACAACTGGCTGCAGAATGAATCCCATTCTGTATGATGAGACAAACCTAGAAGCAAACTCAGAAAGCTAATTACATGCCTTTTAAAAGCTAACCTCACAGTTTTGCAAAACCTCTGGTTCAGTTGCACTTATACTGCAATTAATTCACCTCAAGTAAAAAACAAACCAAAACCAAAACAAACCCACTGAATTCAACCATTCTGAATTCAATTGCTTTCATTATTATCACATTTACCCAATTTATCACAAGTTTTGGAAGAATGTACTTTATCATGGTGCCGCAGCTACAGTGGCTTAATACAGTTAACACAGCCTATAAATTAAAAAAGCTGTGAATGAATTACAAGAGGAACTGAGGATGGCACTTGCTTCTGCAGACCAGTTCCTGGGTGCATAATACTCGTATTTAATGCTGAGATTAGAGTTTATTTTCTTAATGCACATGCAGAAGCATTGCTGACTGTTAATGACAGTCCTTGGATTTGGAATTTTTTGCTAAGATAAATGAATGGAAGTTAGTGTGACCAAGGAAGTCTCATAGAAAGATTAGGAAACATGGAGATGTTTTCAATATCTAGTTGAGGTACTTACAGGAGATGCTCTGAACGATTTCCTTGGCATTTCATTTGATTCCTTCCTTACAAGAAATTCTTCCTGTAGTGATCTGACATGGTTTTCTTTTGGGTTCAAGAACCCTTAATTAAGAGAAACAGAGTTAATTTTGTCAATAAATACTTGAGTCTTTTAACAAAGCAGTTCTCATGTTGGCCAAATTATTAGACTGTGAAACAGAAGAAATCCCTAAAATGGTATCCCTGGTGCTTTTCATAAGAGTGCTGGGTGGCACAAGAGACAGAAAGGTAACTAATAGTTTGGACCATTGCACTGTATTTTTACCTTCCAATTTGGTATGTAATCTTCTATATCTGTCTCAGTCACCATATCCAAAATGAGGTGGAGGGAGAACATTTGTTAGGAACTCTAATTTCAGAACTTAAAAAATATATCCCACTTCGTTTGGGACCCCTGCAGTCTTTGAGGGGTCAGTTGTAGTTCAATGCTTGCAGCTGCAGTAACTTCAAAAAGAAAACCTAAAAAGAAAACTCATATATGCCCTATCAAACTGCCTTTGGTATATTGATTGAGAAAGCAAAAACTTCCTTATGCATATGAGGCTATTTCATCAAGTGGATGGCTGCACGCAAAGAGTTGTAGTCAACAGCTCAGTGTCCTATTTGAGACCAGTATTGAGTGGTGTCTCTCAGGTGTTGGAGCCGGTCTTGTTCAACATCTTTGTTGGTGACATGGACAGTGGGATTGAGTCCGCCCTCAGCAAGTTTGCTGATGACACCAAGCTGTGTGGTTCAGTTGATACACTGGAGGGAAGGAATGCCATCCAGAGGGACCTTGACATGCTTGTGAGGTGGGCTGATGCCAACCTTATGAAGTTTAACCATGCCAAGTGCAAGGTCTTACACCTGGGTCAGAGCAATCCCAGGCACAGGCTGGGCAGAGAAGAGATTCAGAGGAGCAGCCCTGCGGAGAAGGACTTGAGAGTGTTGATTGATGAGAAAATGAACATGAGCCAGCTTCACTGTGCGCTCACAGCCCAGAAAGCCAACTGTATCCTGGGCTGCATCAAAATAAGCATGACCAGCATGTCGAAGGAGGTGATCCTGCCCCTCTACTCTACTCTTGTGACACCTTGCTTGGAGTATTGTGTGCAGTTCTGGTGTCCTCAACATAAAAAGGACATGGAACTGTTGGAACAAGTCCAGAGGAGGGCCACAAGGATGGTCAGGGGACTGGAGCAGTATGAAGATTGGCTGAGAAAGCTGGGGCTGTTCAGCGTGAAGAGAAGGCTGTGTGGAGACATCATAGCAGCCTTCCAGTATCTGAAGGGGGCATATAGGGGTGGTGAGGATGAACTGTTCAATAGGGACTGTAGTGC